GGCGAGAAGCTTGGACCACCGCGAACATCCATTGTTCACTTAAGATTTCATCTTCTCCTCCTTTCTTCTGTCCGGAGTTCGCAGATCTGAAATTACTGTGCAAATTCGATGATGACGTCGGCAAAAAAATGTTGGGGAGGATGGTGGCTAGGGTTATATTTGCTGATGGTTGGAGCTGTGCTGGTCGGAGGTGGGGCTAGGGAAGGACGGATCAGGGTTGGGCTGGTTGGGGCTCGAGCTGGAAACGGTGTTGGGGGCTACAGAGGAGGGCGGGGGAGGTGGATGGGTGCTGGGAGGGGGCTGGGGCGGTGGTCAGCAGTGGGGAGGTTTGACTGTTTGAGGGCTGTGGTTTGGGATTTCGATTAGAGACGGGTCGGGGATGCTGGCCGCCGGAGTGAGTGTGGTGCTCATGTCACGGTGGCCATGGCGGTAGATGGCGGTGTTATCACAAATTTGCTTGAAAAAACTGTTGTTGGACTGTTTGTAACTGTAATTGTAATTGATCGGGTATGGTATTTCTAATTGATCGAATCGAGTAACTATAACTGTTAAAATTGAATAAATAAGAATAGATGAGTTGAATAACTGTAACTGATTAGGTTAAGTAACTGTAACTGGACAGGCGAACGTTGGTCACTGGACATACGGACGTTGGTACTGAAGGGGCGGAAGTCACTTTGTTATAGGGCGAAATTTTTGGTAACTAATGATTTTTGGTCACTGGTGAATTTGGATTTTTGGTCACTAATATTTTTTTGGGATTTTGGTCACTAGCGGATTTTGGTCACTGACAGTTTTTGGTCACTATGGTGTTACTGGTCACTGTGACGTTACTGTAGCACTAATAGGGGTATAATAATCTCCTAATCACTTTTTAGTCTTATTTTTGGGAATTTGGGAAAAGAGCCACTTTTTTGTCCATAGCTCTTTTTTTAGTAATATTTTAGACAAAACCCCCAATAGTTTTTCATAGTATTAATAACGAATAGCAACAATAATGATGAAACGTGAAATTGAATAAGTAAAATAGTTAATACTAATAATGATAATTTTGCCTAAGGGGAGTTTCTCACAAATAGTAAGAAGTGAAATTGTATTATTGATAATGAGTTTGTACGGCTAATAATTATTGAGAGCAGTAAAATATGACCAAATTTTGTATAGGATATTAGGACTATCATTTTGAATTAAAACGACTCCCTTCGTCCCAAAATTAACTTCGGTTTTGACTGGGCACGAGGATTAAGATAGTGAGAAATGTGTGGTGGAGAGTTGTGCAGAAGAGAGAGAAATGTGTAAGAATGGTTGTGAACCACAAATTCTTTGCCAAAAAGGGAAAAAGAAGATAAATTTGGGACGGACCGAAAAGAAAAGAATGAAGATAATTTCGGGACGGAGGGAGTATTTAAAAACAAAACACGAGACCATGTTAGTAATAAAAAGTTTTAGTGAATTTTTGGAAAACTAAATAAAAATATTAAAAATAGAAAGACTGATTGCAAGCAAAAAGTTAAAAAAAATGATTGAGTAAAAATAAAGGAAAATATGGGATAGTAAATATTTTTTTAATGGAATAAAAATTGGGGTAAATTTTTCTGTTTGATTGTTAAAGTACTATGTTAAACAAAAACGGCGGTCATCTAGGGTTTATCCCTAGCAGTTTTTTCCGGCGGTTTTGGCCTGAGCAGGTGGTTCGTGACGTAGAGTGCAAGAAGGGGAGTCCCCGGACGATGGCGAGCAAAGGAGATGGAAGCGGAAACAGTGAGAAGGCGTTGCAGATGCTTTCGTCGGGGCTGGTATCGCAGGGAAAGGAGCAGGAGTGGGACGGCAACGTCTCCCTACAGTCGATCGGAAGGAACCATGGCAAGGACGACGAGCGTTCCGCGGCTGATCCCGTATGGGCGAAAGAAGATGAAGAGATGGTGATTCGTCCCCCCCCTGAACCGCCGCCATGGAGGAATTGTGCGACTAGGGTTTGGAAGGCTATCTTTTTTTTGTTTTAGTCTGTTTGTGTTTTTACTTTGAACGTCATGTTGTTTTGTATGTCCCGTACACTTATTTCTGTCAGACTATTACATTAGGTAGGGGTGATGAGAGTTTTGCTCTGGCCACGTTAGGCTCATTTAGACCCATTACAGGATCAGCGAATCATATTGCTCTGTCTAGGGTGATTGGTTCTCAGGCTGATTCGAGGGTCGGTGGCTGGAAGTGTTTCCTTTATCTTTTTTGTCCCTTGCTGAATGTTTTATTATCAATATAAGCCGCTTTATTCCAAAAAAAGTATTATGTTAAACACAATAGTGATACTACGTACTAGGGTACTACACCACTAGCTACTACGTACTACTCCCCTCCATCCTACTAAGAATGAGACATTGTGATTTACGATTTTTGACCGACGATAAAGCAAATAGATCCATGCCTGCATTCAAATTATTTTTAGAAAAAAAAATACATATTCAAAAACTGCATTAAAAACTTGACAAAGTCACAAAAATCATAATCAAATTTGATAAAATTTTGATTTATAAAATAAGAGATTAAGAGTGATTTGGGTTGACCAAGTGAATATAAACTGGGAAATTGTTAGTGGGACGGTGGGAATGCTATTTCTTACTAGCTCAATTAGATTATATGACCTTGACTCACAATGGTATTATTAATTATATTTAATATTTCATATTTTCATGTGTTCTACTAAGATTGTCTCATCTTTTCTTTTCACTCTGTCCCGCTAAGATTATCTCATACCAAATTTGGTAAAGTTTGTGTGTTTTTTCATTATTCTTTTTTATCAATTCAATATAACCACATAAATCTTATTTTTTTTAAAAGCTGCATCTCCTCCTCATGTCCAGTATTAATGAGAGAGAGGTAATAATATTCAGAAATGCTAGGAGTACACAAGTTGTACACAAAATGTCTATCACAGACAATTGGTACGGAGTTACGTGTGAGAACAGCTGTAAAAAAGTACGGCTAAGAGCTGCACAGCTAAGAGTTGTCTGTGCACACAGACAACATTTATTTGACCGCGTACATTAACTTTCTCGTAAAAAGTACACCGACAGCCACCTGACACTGACACCAGCTTGCAAATCCATCTATATCTGTGCAGTGCATGTGTGCATAGACAATATTTTTCGATTGCACAGACAAATATTTGTCTGTGTGCACAGACAATATTTACCACACAGACAATAGTCTTGCGCTCACAGACAATAATTGTCTGTGTGATCAACTTTAGTTGTCGGTGTGATCAATTTTAATCGTCTGGGTGAACAAAAAAATTAATTGTCTGTATACATCCAAATGAATGATGTGGTATAGTTGTATGTGTGATCAATTGACATGTAATTTGAAAAAAAAAATGAAAAATAATAAAAATAGATAAAATATGATGAATAAATTGATTTTGTGCAAATAATGGAAAAAAATTGATATAGAAAGATAGAGAAAAAGAGGAAGAGTAGAAGGGAAGAGAAAGATGAAGAAGAGAAGATTATTATCTCATACGGAGTATATTTTTTTGAGAATTTTGAAGGGATTGGGTAAAGAGGAAAGAGAGAAGGGAAGAGAGAAGGGAAGAGAGAAGGGAGGGGGGAAAATGAGGAGCTGTTTTGCGGGCTATTATACCATGTACACTTTGTGTACAAGTCATGTACACAAAGCATTTTTGAATAATATTAGAGTAAGGATGGACTGGGCCCGGTCTGATCGACTCGGTACCCGGCCTGGACCGCCATTGTTCAGTACCGCCCCGGCCTGGCCCGGTCCGGCGGTAGTGCGGTACCGGGACCGGGACTGAGGCCCGCATTAGGGTTTGGGGGGGCAAGCTACGGGAGTACGGGACATGCAATTGAGTGACCGGCCGGTCCGGGCCAAACTTTATTTTTTTATTTTTATTTTTTGGGTTTGGGCCTCTGCTAGGTGGGTTGGGCTGGGTGTTTTGGCGGGGTTTGGGGGTGGGTGGTAGGAAACTAGGAATAAATTGAAAAAGCAAAATAAAATAAAATTAAATGACCCGAACCCGGGCCCGACCGGACCCGGTAGAATCCCGGGCCTGTACCGGGCCTTAGGCACAGAAATTTTGTCCCGCTTTTGACATGTCTAGAGCCCGAAGCCCGGGCCCGGGTCAATGCCTATATTAGAGTGCTACGTTTATTTTTGTTATTTCCAATGATTTATTATAAGAACCTGACCAAAATTTTACCATTGTAATCCTTCTGCATGCATCGGTGTCATGATCGTAATAATAAAATCAAAACATGGTATGACATTATTGTATGCGAATTTCTCACAAACATCCATTATTATTATTATTGTTATTATTATTATTATATTGTGAAAACATGGGGTTTAACAATGTTTTCAAAATGGGATAGTAAATTAATAATGAGGTTTAATATGAAAATAATTGTGAGAAACTCCCATTTACAGATGCAAAGTTTTTTTTTATTATTAATCATTTTAGTAATTCAGTTTCATGTTTAATCATTTTTTGTTGCTATTCATTATTACTGTAATAATAATGTTTTGAAAACATTATTACTATATTAAATGGGAGTTTTTCAAATTTATTATTATTATTATTATTATTATTATTATTATTATTATTATTATTATTATTATTATTATTATTATTATTATTATTATTATTATTATTATTATTATTATTATTATTATTATTATTATTATTATTATTATTATTATTATTATTATTATTATTATTATTAGGGAAAACTACAGTAAACGTACTTGTGGTTTGGGGTGTTTTCAATTCGAGGCATGAGATTCATTTCTTGACAACCACGGACGCGTGATTCCACTCTGTTATCTCACCCGGGGCACCGACCTTACGACGTTAGTAATAACTGACGTGGCATCATTTATTTGGCCACGTCCGCTCCAACACATGATTTACTTGGAATTGAATTTAGAATTAAACACCATGCTTTATTCTTACAATTTAGGTTTAATAAGGACGAAAGCTTCAGTGTATATGTCAGCGCCGGTGACCGTGGGTCGATTTTGCTGGTGAAGTGACATAAGAAGACGGCGACCGGTAAACAGCTGGTGTTTCTGTGAAACGTAAGTAAAGCATTTGAGCTTTTCTTTTTGTACTGAATGTTTAAGTTTCTAGAGTGGATTGTGTGTTAAATTCATAGGTTGCAATGTATAATTTGTGGTTAATTTCAAATGTATAAATGTATGTATAGGTCGGAATGACAGAGTATGTGAACTTGGTTATTCACCATGGTGGTAAATGGGACTGTGCAAAAAAGAAAAGGGAATATTTGGGGGGTGAGGTGACCAAAAAGGAAAAGGTAGACATTGACTACCTCAGTAAGTTCGAATTGGATGGGTATGCAGAGGACTTGGGCTATAAAGATGGTGTACAAATATGGTTCAGAAGGTTTGCAATTAAAGATGTATGTGGCCCAGCTGCTTTACAAGAAATTGAATGTGATAAGGATGTACATGACATGCTTCTTTCCAACATAATGGACCCATACATTGAATTGTTTTTGTCTCAAAGAAGAGTCCAAAAGGGAAAGGGAAAGCAAAAGTACCAGAAGGCCCCTCAAACCCTTCCCAAAGTGCAGATGCGACCCCAAATTGTGATTCAACTCCATGTACTGATATAGCCATAACCTGTGATGCAAGTCCTTTTTTACGACCACTCATCCGTGTGGAGTCAACCCACACTCCATTACAATCTCAGCCTGAACCTCAGGGTCTTCCTGCATTTCTACAAGCACAATACCACAGTGATACTGAAGATGAAGATTACCAACTGTCAAGTAGTGTGAGTGAATCTAGTTCCGAAAAGCGGTCTCTTTCACATGTTAGTCAAGATGAAGCAAGCTGGTTATATCAAGATCTAGAAGGCAGTGAAGATGAAGTTTTTCAGGATTTGATCAGTGAAGATGAAGCACCCGAGTTTAATGAAGCTCATGATGAGGGGAATACACCTGACTTTAATGAAGACACTGTGGTTGACCAAGACTTAGATGAGTTCAATGAAGAGGCAGCCTACAGTGATGACCTTCACAGCTATAATGGATCTTCAGATGATGAGGGAAATACTCCTGATTTTAATGCAGAAAATGGATCTAAACATGGTGATTTGTGCAAAGGTATGAGATTCACATACATGTGGAATTCAGAAAAGCTTTAAAGGAGTGGGCTGTTAAAAGTGCATTTGATTTCAAGTATGTGAACAATAGAAGAGCTAACATCACTGTGGTCTGCAAAAATAAGGAAACTTGTTCATTCCAGGTTCATGCATCAAAAATGAGTGATTCTGGGTATTTCCAAATAAAGACTTTCAGGCCCAAACATGAGTGTTCCTTTAGTAATCGAAATAGTCTAGTGACAAGCACCTATTTGAGTGAGAAATTTCTTGATGAGTTGAGAGACAATCCAAACTGGGATGTTTTAGCAATGCAAAAGACAATTCAAAGGCAACTTAGGGTGCAGGTCAGTCTTGCCATGTGTTATAGAGCGAGAGTTAAAGCAAAGGCCAAGATTGCAGGTGATATCACAGAGAAGTACAGGAGATTAAGAGATTATGTTGCTACTGTCCTTAAGTATAATCCAGGTAGTCTTGTCAAGATTAAAACTGAGGTACTCTCTGAGGAGGTCCAACAAGTAGCTGTGAGTGAGGCAGTTCCTTCAATACCCAAAGAGGTCACAATATTTCAATACATGTATATGAGGTTCACAGCTCAGAGACAAGGCTACTTTTCAGGTTTAAGACCCTTAATCTGCTTGGATGGGTGCCATGTGAAGACTTCAATGGGAGGACAACTTCTATGTGCAGTTGCCAGGGATGGAAATGAGAATATGTTTCCCCTGGCTATTGCATATGTTGACAGCGAAGACAAAGCTTCATGGACTTGGTTCCTACAGGTTCTCTTTGAAGACTTTGGAAGATCAGAAGAGACTAAGTGGACTTTCATGTCTGACAAACAGAAGGTAAGGACTGTTTGCACTCATGCTCTTTTAATTGTGTTTTTTTTTTTCTGTAACTTATAATTGCTTATTATGTATATTTTGTACATGTACACTTATTTCAGGGGTTACTTGAGGCTTTTAAGGCTGTCAATCTATTGAATGAGCATTAATATTGCTTAAAACATATGTATGAGAACTATAAGAAGGTTTTCAGGGGTGGGGAGTACAAGAAAAAGTTGTGGTTAGCAGCAAGCACTGGATGTTTAAGGTCCTGGCAGAGACATATGGAAGCCATTAAGAGTTTTGATGAGGCTGCCCACACTTGGTTGCTGCAATATGACCCTAGGACTTGGAGTAGGGCTCATTTCTCACCACACACCCAGTCAGGTGCTCTACAAAACAACATATGTGAGTCTTTCAACTCTTACATTCTTAGAGCTAGAGATTTGCCTATCCTAAGTATGTTTGAATGGATTAGAAAACGGTTAATGAAAAGGTTTCATGTGAAGTACACTAGGATGGTGAAATACAAGGGGGCAATCTGTCCTAACAAACAGGACCTTCTAGAAAAATACAAGTATGAGAGTAGGAATTGTTTTTGCACACCAGCTGGTGACAAGCTTTATGAGGTAGAATATTTTGATAGAAGCTATGTGGTCAACTTGAATGAAAGAAGTTGCACATGTAGAATGTGGGATTTAAATGGTATCCCCTGCAAACATGGAGTGTCTGCTATTTATGCCAATAGAGAAAAACCTGAGGAGTATGTCAGTCCTTATTACTCAAAAGAAACCTACCTGGCTGTGTATAACCATATGATCCACCCTGTCCCTAGTAAAGAAGAGTGGGAAACCACTGACTACCCTGACATCTAAGGCACCCATTCCAAGAAAGCCAGCTGGTAGACCAAAGAAAAAGAGAATTAGAGCTCCTGAAGAAACAAGGAATCCATATAAGGTTTCTAGGTCTGGGAAACAGGTTGTTTGTGGTAATTGTAAGCAGGTGGGCCATAATGTAAGAGGATGTAAGACATCCCTTACAGGAGAAACCCCATGGCAGAGAAGAATGAGGCTAAGAAAACAAAAGTCTTCCACAGGAGGAGGCCAAGAACCTGATGCTCATGAAGCTGAAAATGCAGATTCTCATGTCAACACTCAGGTTGTGCAGACCACCAGTGAATCAGTCCCCATTGCTTCCACTCCAAATGCAACAAGTTCAAGAAAAAGAAGAAATACTTCTAGTTCTCAACCACAACAAACTTCATCAAGAAGAATTACTAGATCTTGCAGTTCACAACCACCACAGTCCCTGGTATGACTTAATGGTGTGACATTAATGACCTTTAAATCAGTGCTTGTATAACTATTAAAATTGTTGTTTATGTGTGCAGGACAAACATTGTTGAACATGGGGGTGCTTCAATTTGAATAGATGTCATATAATTGCTGAGAAGATGTCTGGGCTTAATGTTATTGTGATGTAATTGTAATTGTAACTGTGATGAATGTAGCAGACAATTTGTAATGTCAGTTGGATTGGTTTTTGCAGTTATTTTGCTGAAATGTAATGTGTACTATGTATTGGATGGATTTTAGCAATGAATGTATGGTCTGTCTGGGCACACATTGCTTTGGTTTATCTTAAAAGGCAGGAACTGTATACTTGTTGTTTTGGATGGAATCAAATGAGTATGGGTCAGATTGTTATGTTTCAGTATAATATGTCAGATTGTTATGTTTCAGTATAATATGATGTTCCTATTATACTTACAATTGGATGTTCATCAGATTATTATGTTTCTTTGCTTTATCTTGCAGTGGGATGTTCATCAGATTATTATGTTTCAGTATGGGATTGCTAATCTGATGTGTCCTAGTAGGATGTATTAGGGAGTCAAAGATGATAATAAACATGACAATAAAGAACAACAGCTTAGGGACTCAAACACTATCATTCACATTTGATTTGCTTGTCATCTAATATGCTTCCATAATGGCTTAAACCCATTTTGCAGAAATCCCTCAGTGGAATATGTAAAACACATATGATGCCACTGAATAAGATAATAAACAACAAAAGCTTCAAAAAGATCATAAGCTTCATAACCAAATTCATAATCTTCATTACAACAATACAACCAAATTCAACAACCAAATCAGTACCCACATACAACCACACAAGAACTAAACATCTGCTAAAGAAAATGACAATTAATTGAGACTGAAGTTTGAGTGATACATTTTATCAAACACATGGCAACCTTACACACCTAATATATCCTACTTCCCAACAAGATGATAACCAACAACCCGAACCACACTACATTCCAGGAGAAAGTCTTATTGCCTTTCTTTGACATCTTAAGTTCCTCTTCCATATTTTGGAGTTTCAAAAGCCCTATCCCACGAACACAACTCTTGATTTCAGCTTGCATCTCCAATTCTTTCACTCGGAAATTGTCTTCAACACTGGTAATCTTCTGGAGCAAAGTATCTATCCGTCTCAAACAAGTAACACGTTCTTCATCCTCAACCCATTCAAACAAATTGCACTTTTGAGCACTCAAGAAACGACCGCATTCATGAAATCTTTTCCCCCTGTTTTTGTCTGTCGTAGCAGTCCACACTGGTGCTTGGAGTCCACACTCACACCTCTTAATTCGTCTTCTTCCATCCATCCACTGGGACTCAACGCTCGAAGAACTCATCGCCCTCTTACTCGCCTTTCTTTTTTTCCTTCACCGACGTCTTAAGGACAGCCTTAAACAAGAGGCTGGAGGGTTTTAATAATTAAGCAGAAAAGATAAGCCACGTGTATATGCATAGATGAACCATTTCAAATTTCACCGTTAAAAATTTTGCCACGTCACTTATTTCTAACGTCGTAAGGCCTGGTGCCCCGGGTGAGATAACGGAGTGGAATCACGCGCCCGTGGTTGTCAAGAAATGAATCTCATGCCCCGAATTGAAAACACCCCAAACCACAAGTACGTTTACTGTAGTTTACCCTTATTATTGTTATTATTATTATTATTATTATTATTATTATTATTCCCTTCGCTTCATTCACAATGACATATTTATACTATGAGGTACAAGTTGAAGTGTATACAGCACAACATTACCATCTACAGACATGATGATTTTGTTTAATGAGTTCTGAACAAACCATGCTGCATTACAAGAAGGCCCTCTAATCCCCCTATGGTACCTTCGGAACCGAAGATCTCTTTTTACAGCATAATACAAGAGACAAATCTGCAGCTGTGTTAGACCATTTTAACTCCCTTTGAGTACTCTATTCTAATTGCCCATAACCGCTCTACGACTGTCTTCATATCTGGGCGATCCGTCCGGGTAGGCGCTGCACATTGAATTGCCAACTCAAACATCCTCACCAATATCTCCCTGTCTATCTTTTCCTTCATCAAAGGGTCTACCATGCCGGTTACGTTCCCTTCGCTAAACTTCCCAAATACCTGCACTATCAATATCATGCGTGAGTTGCAGGACTTTGAAGAAACAACTAAAGTGATTGGCATGTTATTTTTTTCGATACTATTT